ATATTTATAAATATATAACACATCGGATCGGATAGGGGGTGATCCGAATTCAACCAAATAGGATCGAATCTCGGATCAGGTCGGATCATGATCCGATCCATTTGCATTCCTATTCATCAAACATATTTTGTTTAATGTCAATTAAATCAATGCTCTAGTTTTCTAAAAGGTTTACAATATATTTATATTTTTAATTTATGGCATTGCAAATTGACTTATTTAATTAAAAGAGAAATGCAAATTCAATTGATTTTCAAAACATTGCATTTTTATCAATGTTTTTTACCCTAGCGACCAATCAGAGTATTAGTTAACTAGTAACCTAACTAGGATTTTGAGCCCTTTTACCACCAAACTACTGGTTAAAAAATTGTTGAATCAATAAAAAACAAAGTGACCTAGCTAGTTGAACCATTTGAGCAATACCCAAATGTTTTCTGCAAAATTTCTATAGTTTCTCACATTATGATGTAATTGTGATATCATGAGTTGATCCATTTGAGCTAGAAGATTGGACCTTGACCGCAACCTAGAGAATAAAACAGCTTTGTTTTCGAATTCGTTTTAAACTTTGTATTTTTTTAGTCAATAGTAAAACTAATTATTATTTATATAAATATCATAGATGTGTCAAAATTTTCATATTATTTGTAGTTTCTTACAAATCTTTGTACTTTTTTTTGTAAAAAAAAAATATTTAACTATGGAATCATGCTTTGATTTTTTGAGTCACCACTTGACAGGAACAAAGTTTTATTTTTAAAGAAGTTTTAAATTTTTTTATAACAATACTATCATTAATAAAAAAAAATACTTCTTATTTATCACATTTGTTTTTGTTCAATGTAACAAATATATAATATTAGAGATGTGTTAAAAAGTTTACAGCTTTTATTTATTTTTAAAGTTTTAATATTTAATTGTGGTACCATTGGTTACATGTTTAACCCAAATGGTTATACTATTTACCTACCACCTAAAAGAAGTTGTCTCATTTATAGACCAATTTTAATTTAAAAGTAAATTTTTTATACTATTGAAATTAGGGGAAATTTACTAAAATCATCCCCCTATAATTTCATGTAGTAAGACTTGCCATATCTTACATATTACTAAAATACCCCATCTAATTTGCAATAGGCCCATGAATTTATTGCTGGTGTAAAACCTCATCATTGGTTCCACTGCCCGTTGAACAACTAAAGCGTTCAACTAATCCGAATTTTTAATCGACCCTAATTCACCACGCTTGTCTGAGATTGAACTCAACTACTGAAATGGAAGTCTGAGCTGAGCGAGTAAAAGTTATAATCAACTCAACTTGTCCACAATAAATCCTGATTTCGTCTACACCATCCTTGCAACACTTGAACATCTTTCCACAAATGTAAATATATAAATACAAAGATATTCCCAATATATGGCTGTAAGTGCTGTAACAACAGTGTGAAAATGAGGAACCTTACATGGTTATATTTGTTAGACAACGTCTGCCGTTAGCTCGAATCTTATTGATGTATATATACATTTATTGTAAATGAATAAAATTACATTATTGTCCCATGTTGTCATTGGTATGTTTCTATGGTTTTAACCCCTTAAACTGGACAATTATGACATTCGTGTTAGTTTAGAATGTTCTCAGCCATTGGATAAACTTGGGGAGTTTATCCTGCCAAGGCTAACACTGATGTGCTGCCAAAGAAGTTAGATCATCTTGTCTCAGCTGCTAGGGTTAAACCCGAAGAACATGTAGTGTGTGTTTGATTGAAACACTGAACCTGGACCATTTTCCAGTTATGCTCTAGACCTTGGAGATTGATGGAAAAAACTGGAAAGTTACACAACCCCTAGACTTGATTATGATACTGCATTGGGTGTCGGATTGGGTTGTCTTTGATATGCCAATCAATGAGATCCTTTGTGGGTCAAAATCTGAATATGTTGGGGCAGTCTAAGAATTCACTTAAGTGGGTGATCATACTGATAGGATCGGCCCCTTTGTCGAACAAAGTGAATGATTGGGACTATAATCACTTTGATGGAAACCTAAACTACCGGTATATATAATGTTTTAAGAAAAGTGTTTGCAAAAGGTTTTAATAGTGTGACATTGCACCTTGCAGTATTGAGTAGTGTTTGATCATTATGGGCTAAGAGGTTAACTGTAAGAGACCATTAAGGGTTGATTACCTAATGGGCTATATCTTACTTAATTCCATTATCCTTGGATTTTCATAAGATGGCTGAATTCAATGATCATTTAATTGTAAATGTTGGGCCCATTTGAGCCAATAGTGATGAGCTCAGGGGTTCACTTCATTTGGCAGTGAATTCGGCCATGCCTTTTCATAGAGGCTAGGCCAAACCCATGTGGACTTATGTAAGGTCATTGTGGGGTCTCACGCTATACAAATCTAACCTCAATAAGCCATCAACACTCTTGGGTCGTGAGCCACTTAAGTAATGGGCCTAAAGCCCATGATTAATATGATTAATCAATATGTCACATGACAACTTAAGCTATCATGTGACATGGGCGAATCTGGGTTTGGATATGAGTATGGAGCACCCATTCTCTTAACAGGATAAGACCTATCTCTTGATAGAGTCCAGATCCGAATAAAGATTTGGATAAACCTCCTAATTCGATTAAGAGAGGTGTTCCATAGAGGATAAAAGGAGATATTGAACTGCTTCATATTACTCTGCATTTCAGCTCTCTCTCTCTCTCTTCTCCTCTTGCTGCCCAAGAAACCCTAGTTCGATCTTAGTATTTGGGACTGATCTTGATCAGTTCTTTCTCTGATTTTTGCATGAAAAATACAGAGAAAAATCATGCTCACCTCCCTAGATCAATCCAAGGTGTTGGATTGCAGTTTTGCTGAAAACTACGTTACTGAACCGATTTCACTTCAAGTTGCACCATCTTCAATGGAAGTTGGATTTGGGATTTGATTTGGGCATGAACTACCACCTTGGGAGCTACGTTTGTGGAATCCATATCAGGTATACATCTCCCTCTTGTTTGGTTTCAAATCTGGTCCGATTTCAGTGCAAAATCGATCCTAGAGAAATGCAATTTTTCTAAAACAAGGAATACGATTCCCGAAAGGTTAAGGAAACATTTTTGAAATTTCGCCCAGCCATCTTGCATGATTAGGCCATCCATATGATGGATTCTCACCTTCCTTCATATATTCGTGCCACTAATTGGATGAAAGGGTTACGCAATCCAAACATGATTAAATGCGCCAACGATCCATGAGTTTTGATCTTTAGGCTCGGTTTAGAATAGACCTATTCATGGGTTGGGCCAGGCCGGGATTTGCCTCTTTATTAACAGAAAATCTATAGGCTTGAAGTCAGACCTAGATCTTGAGCCTAAGTCCGACCCTTATATAAAGCCCGAAGCCCGAACCTGAGCCCGAAACCTGACCTGTACACAAAATGTCTTATTTTCAGTGTATTTTTATAAACTAATATTATATTAATTTAGTAATAATTTAATAAATTAATAAACTAATTTATATTTCCTAATAGCAAATTAATATTTATTAATTATTTAAGAATTAAATATATATTATATATAATATAAATGTTTGTTTATTATATGTAAGAGTATCGGGTTGGGCTCGGGCCTGGGTTGAGCTTATTTGAGAAACCCCGAGCCTGGCCTGAAAAATGACTTGGCCTGGTATTTAAAGCCCAAGCCTGAGCCCACGGGCCTAAAGTTTTCGTCCAAGCCCGAAAAATAATGGGCGGGCCGTCTGGCTACCCGACCCCTAAATAGGTATAGTTTGGAAAGAGTACAAATATAAAAATGTATAGTATAAATATATATAAAATACAAAGTTTTGCACTCTACATATTTGCATTATACTTCTTCCAAACTGAGTCTTTAAGATTGATTTTTTTCAAAAGAATCTACAGCTATATTTATTTCAGGGAAAATTCCTGATCAGTCCCCTATATCAAACTTTAAAATGCAATAATCTAACCTCAAACTTTTAAAATGCGATAATTCAGAACCTGAACTTTCAAAATATAACAATCTAATACCTGACGTTAACCAGTCCGTTAATAAGCCGTTAAAGAACAAAAAGTAAAAAATGAATGCCATCTAATTCTCTTCTATTAAAAAAAACACTCTCAAATCATATCCTCTTCTACTAAAAAAAATTTAAAAATGAGATAGAAACTTTATTATTTGAGCCTGATGAAGACGTTCGATCCATGTACTAGGCCTGTTACCTTTTTGCAGGAAAGTTATGATCTGCTCGGTGTCCCTCTATAAACTGATACTCTGTTGCTTGGCGAGGAGCTGCTTGGGCGCTTGAGCCCAGCCATGAAGGCTCTTTCAGCATCATTGGGATTGATGGACCAACAAGGGATTCCTTTGGAGATGATTTCATACCCTTGTGCTCGTTGGATCAAGAAAGAGCATCCTGAGTTTCCTGTCAAAGGATGATACTACATTAGAGGGAGGAGCGATGCCTCGAGAGATGGGATGTGCCTAGGCCATGCGAATTCAAATCAGCCCTCCACAATGTGCCACAGCATATTTCCACCGTGTATTGAGAATATCTGACATCATTATTTTTTATATTATTATCGAAAGATAATACACGGCGGGAATGTGCTGTGAAACGTTGTGGGGGCAATTTTTAGAGGGCTGATTTGATCTCGTGGCATGCGGAACCAGAGCGCTTTACGTTTCAGTTGTGCATCTGTAACATCTTCGTAACACTAAATTTTTATTCATGTACGATGTTCTCAATGCACGGATGAAACGTGCTGTGAGATCGGTGTGAGGCGCGCTTAGTTAGGAGCAGATCCGACCTCGAACCAATGCCAATCTTTGGTCCTTGACTAATCCTCCCAATCCCAGTCCCAAACTCGCTGGTTACGACAGTATCAGTGTGTATTCGAACTCTCAGGGACCGTTGATTATGAGGAATCATTTTCGTCCATCCTTTTCAGTCTCTCTCAAACTCACGTACCGACGAAGACCATATTAATTCTATATTTTTAAATAAATAATTACACCTTTTGGCGTTATTTGACGCCATTATTGTACTTACATCGACAGAAGTAATACCGTGGCACATGGATATGCTTACATGCCATTTGGCTGCGAATTTACAAAAGAAAAAATATTATAAATTATAAACGTTAATGATAAGGAAGCTAAGGCGACAACTGTATCCACCTTGCGACACTTGGCACGCCCTGATTGACCGCAAATGCCATGTAGTACCCCGGCGGAGCAACCTTAGCGCCTGGTGGACCCGTGCAGCTTATCCTGTACCGTCCTCCTGATTCAGGGATGGCAGACGAAACCGTTAACTTTACCAATCTCTGCCCTTGCGAGAATGAGTGGGTCGCGAAAGGGGCGCTGGCGAAGTTCACTTCCACCTTCTCCACCACCGGCAACGAAACCGATATCACCACCTCGAACGCATCTCCGTAACGTATCCTCTTCGGAGAGTCCTCAATGACGGGTCGCAGATTCGCGCGATCTTGTGATAGATACTCCGGCGAGAATGCTTCTAGCCGCAGCTCTGTCGGAAAGTCTCCTTCGAACTTGTAGAAGTAGTGCGGATTGCTTCCCGCCACCAATACTCTACCGTCCGGCAGCAGATTCGCCGTTGAATGATACATCCTCGGCACTGTCCCGGGGTTCAAAGTCATGAAACGTAAACCGACCGGTTGATCCGGTCGATAAAGAACCGGGTACAAGCACGGGTTGGAGGCCATCTCAAACCCTTGAGTTCCGGCTTGAGCTCCGTTGATGATCAACACATCTCCGGTCGGAAGCATCACCATGTCGCCCATGATCCGCCCGAACGGCATGTCTTCCATCTCCCAACCCGGTTTGGGGTCCGTCGCTACAATGCGCCCGCAGCTACCATGCGCCGGAGTGTCCGTGCTCCGCTCGATAAATGCGCCGTACTGGGCGCCACCGCAAACAACGATCACGGCGGTCGAGTAATCCCCTTGGAGTGCGAGCATCGCCGAGGATCCAGCCGATGGATAATTACGTGGGCCCCCATCCAACGGCGGATAGTCTCGCACGATACTGTTGGTGACGTAATCGTACAAAACGGCCTTGTTATTGGCGAAGATGAAGAGGTGACCGTTGGGGAGGAGGTGAACGTAAGGGTAGAGGTTGTCCATCTGGTTATCCTCCACGTCAGCAAGGAACGGTAACACCACGGCGCCGTGCTTCTTGGGCGGATAGAATTCAACGCTACTGGCGGCTCGACCACCGACGATAATGATCGAACCGTCCGGTAATATCTGGTTAGTGGAGTACCACCTGCCGGCAGCCAGCTCAACGTCGTCAAGTTCTTCCCAGTCGCAGAGCTTATCGGGTTCGCAGGGCGCGAACTTTCGGATTTTCTTCAAGCCGTCGAGGTCGCCGCCAGTTTGTAAGAGGGTACCGTCGGGGAGGAACTGGCCGGACGAGCACCAGGTGTCGGTGAGGATCATCAAGGGTCGGATTTGGTTGGTGGCAGGGTCAAAGAGAACGGAGTGGGCGTAACAGTCGTGTTTGAGGACCCTGTCCTTGAGGTCAAAGCGACAGTGGCCCTTGCGGAGCATTCTCCGTGATGGGCCGATGTTGGTGCGGTCGAGGAGGACGACGGTGCCATAATGGGTAACGGCCGTGTGCATGGACGCTATGCCAACGTTTGGGACAAGGAGTTCCCATGTTCCGGGGAGACCGCCGTGAGTTACGACCTGTAATGAAGTCCAAGCAAGGAAGAGAAGCCATCTTGAACACCAAGAATACCTCATTGAAAAGAGGCAAAGAGCCAACGAGAGAAAGAACGAGAGAGAGAGAGAGAGAGAGACGATTAGTCAGTGATTCTCATTTCTCAGGTCTTTGTCGTTGTTATAAGTTTATAGTAGGCTAGCAGCAGAGAGCAGTAGTAGAGTTAGAGTAGTAATCTCGCTAAGTGCACACTTAGAAGAGAATAATTAAAGCTTTTTGACACGTGGTGGCGCGTCTGAAATGTGACAGTCGAGGACGAGGGGACTCTGGTTTTGTAGAAGACGAGTGACGTAAATGAAAATGAATGGGGGCCCATTAGAGCAGCACGCTCATCTTTACTTTAGTGGGCCTCACCATGTGAGCCATGTCCCGGTGTCCCCACGCTCTAATATCTTCGGCGAGTGAGCGTTCGACATTGAATTGTTTACTATACGTAGACTGATGGTAGACGTGGTGACTTTGGCACTTTGTGACCTGGCACTTCTTCTTGGGACTTACAGCTCAGCGGAGCCACTGCGAAACAGCTGCTCTCTGATCGTCCCTTACCCCCCCCCCCCCTTTCTTTTTCTTCTTTCTCTCTCTGTTTCCGGGGAGGCTCTCTCTCCAGAACTCTCGAGATTTTTGTTTCCTCTTTCTTTATGTTTAATTTCTTTTTGTTGCGATGTTCGTTTGCTCTTTGTTTCGTTTGTTCTTTGTTCGTTTGTCTGTTGAGTTTCTCCTTTCGTTCGGTTCGTTTGCCCTCTGTTTAATTTTTTTCTGTTTCTCTCTACGTTCTGTTCGTTTGTCCTTTTATTCGTTCTGTTCGTTTTGTTCTTTATTTGTTCTCCTTTTATTCTCCCGTATTCCCTTCTTATCTCCCCAGGTTCCCATTTGTCAGTCTGTTCGGTCTTTATGCTGGCGTTTTGATTGGGAGTTTCTTTTCTAAAATCCTTTCTGTATCAACCACCGGTGGAAGCTGCCATTTGCATTGCCGTTCCCAGCATTTTGGAAGGTAGCTTTAGTTCTCCGGCGTTGAGGACGGCAATAACAGTTCTTCCCGTGTTATAGATTTGGAAACCTGCCCTATCAGTAATGTTTGCCAGTTATGGTGGTTTGGAGATGTATTTATCCACTTTTGTTGGTGATTTTAAGTCATTTTGCTTCGATTGTAGGTTGTAGAAGTTCTTTAAGATTCTCCTACATCCATCTTTTGATTTTGTTCTTCTTGAGATTTGTCTTTACACTTTAATTAGCCTTGGCCTTTTGTTTTTTTTTTTGAGATTTGTCTTTACACTATAATTAGCATTATTGGTATCTCTTTGTATCGTTCTCTTGAATGAATGAAATATTTTAAGACTTAAAAAATTGAATGGACCGGCCATGGCCCATTATATGCAAGTCGTCGGCCTAATCTAACATGTATATGTTGGTATAATTTGAGCAATTCAAGCTCCAAACGATACGGCGTGGCAGTACATCACTTGCCTTTGCCCATGTTGGGACGGGGAAAGTTGGTGGTAACTAGTAAATTAGGGAATAGCTCTATGTAAAGAGGACGGACCGGACCCGGTTCGATGTAGTTCATCTCCATTGACTGAAAAGTACCAGTCGTCTCGTCAGCGAGGGACGAGGGTAAGGTAACTACAAATTGTCGGTGTGGATGATGGCAAAGGCTTGTTTGGCTCTTCATAATTTGTGAAAGACAAAAAAGAAAAGCTTACCGGCATTGAAGCTTGATTTAAGCATGCCTCACGTTGAGACAATGAAATGAAATGAAACCTACCTTACCATTGGATGGGTCCCCTCCGTATTGGAAGATTTATGTGAGTGAGCCAAACAAACATTTACAGCCTTAACCTTGCGGTGTGTTATATTTGGATAAAAGAAAGCTTCATACAACTTTTACGAACCTCTGGAAAGTAAAGTATGATATCAGGTCGCAAAAACTCATCCAACGATATGCTAGGCCTATCCATAAACGCTCACCGAATTAAATACATATTTTATTTCTTTAGTGGGACTTGTTATCCACCGTGGGTATCTTTATTTTTCACTGACAGGAGAAAGAAGCAAAAGTGAACTGTGAAGTCCATTTACAGGCCTCAATATTCTTGATTTGTCACAGAGAAACGCCAAAATCTATTAACAAAACTGAATTGGGATATATTCCTCACACCGACTTCACAGTCAATAACGCCAAAATCTATTAACAAAACTGAATTGGGATATACTTCTCACACCGACTTCACAGTCAATAAAACTAACAGTCCATTTGGTTGTTGAGAAGAGATGGCATGGGGAAAGGATGGGATGAGAAGGGAAAATTTATTTTCTCATTCTTGGTGTTTCATTGTTGAGAAAGGAAAATTGCCATTCATCATCTTCCTTCGAACTCAAACCAGTGGTGAGGATGAGGTGAGTTCCAATCTCCCCCTCATTAGTAAAAGAAGAATGCCCAGAAAAACTAAGATGTTAAAGTTGAGATCCATACATTGATGAAGTTATTGATGAAGGGTGATTTGGACCGACCTAGTAAAGAGGGGATACGTGGACACAACTTGACCAAGAGATGACAACCCAGCCTAACATGACTAGTTCGCAGTAGACTGAACTCGGATATTCAACCACCTGGGGATAAGGTGACCTTGGGACACCTCAGACGAGACCACCTCGGTACTAGATCACAATAGATCACTTCAATCCCAAAGCACTTCGGCATTCAATTCAGTTCGGAACCTAAAAGCATCAGCTCGGGGATACCAACTCCGGACTACTACGTGGTGACCCCGAAAATCCCTCCAACGGATTCCAAACCGCCCGGGATCACTCCGCGTAACAGCTAGCATTATCTCCTCCTCGCCCGATTCGGGCGGAATTGATAAGCCTTATCAGTTGACGACGTTATCCCCTAATTAACGAAGAAACGGATATCATCGTGACGAAGATCCCAGAACCGATCCACAAAACCTGCGAAGACTCAGCTATATAAAGGCTCCAACCCGGGGGCATAAGGTACGCATGATTTCTCTGCTCTCTAATTCTCTACATTCTTAAGCTATTTCAGCTCGCAACAACTATACTAACTTAAGCATCGGAGCGACCTCGTCGGGCTAGCCACCCCAGGTTCTCTAATCGTCTTCTTGCAGATCAACCTAGTCCGTCGTCCTACTGGAAGCCAAGTCACTTCCAGCAGGGAGCAGCTAGATCGCGCTGCACCATTAGTAACAAACTCGAACACATGGCATCTTCCAGCAATGCCGGACAAAACACTGAAATGAATGTCCCTAGGGGGCAGCCTCAGTTCCCGTCTGTCTAAATCGGTCAGTTCACCATACTGCTTACTGTGACTGAGGTCCCAACGTTGACCATGCCTCAAGCGACTACACAGGTAAAGGCGCCACTCCCCCCTGTAGTTGGCGTAACCTTCGCTGAACCGTCTGTGGTTCCCCCTCGAGTCGAACAAGCCCAGTTCGACGACCTGGTACACTACGTGCGGGCCATTCAAGTCCAAATGCAACAGGTCTAGCAGTTCCAAAACAATCAGCAACAAGTCTTCCATTAGTTCTACCAGCAACAGTACCAACAACAATTCCCTCCGTTGCAGCAAAATCAACAGTCGGTCCCACCCCGACACTCAGTAGTACAACTGCATCATCCTCGTCTACAGAACACTCGCTCCACCCACTGAGGCGAGACTCCCCAAGTTCCACCTCCTTTTGGGAGCCAGGTCTCACCCCGCGGCAAGAGGGATGGACAAGGTCACTCCGCTCTCTTCACAGGGCAACGGTGGAAGCAGGTCAGGAGATACTCAGCCCACCAGGGCTATCTTACCTCGGCCCTCGCATCAAGAAGGTTTGCTCGTGGGAAACCGGTTCGGGATTCTGGCTGCGAACTCAAGGCGAGGCCCTTTCCTCCATGGCAGTCAGCCTCAGCATCCAGAGCCACTCCACGCCAGAATAGTTCCCGACCACACAGAGGTCAGCAACACCAATGCGGAGATGATAAAAAAGCAACAGCGAAAGCGTCGCAAGGGACACAGAACCACAGCTTAGAATAGTCAACTCACTAGGCCCAGCCAGCCAGAGCAAGTTAAGGGTAAAGAGGAAGCGAGCTCAGCAGCTACAAAGACCTCTCTCCTCCTCTCTAGGTCATCCCCTCTGTCATCTGAGCTCCTAGCGACCCCAATGCCAAAGGAATTTAAAATGCCACCTCTCGACAAGTATGATTGATCCTTCGATCCAAATGACCATGTGGACTCCTAGTCCCAGTTGCAACTAGCTGGGGCTGACGAGTCGTGCATGTGCGTAGCCTTCTCCACCACGTTTAAAGGAGTAGCTCGCACATGGTACCGGAACCTCACGCCAGGAACAATCAGAAGTTGGGCACAGTTCGTAGAGATGTACACCTCGCACTTCATTAACAGCAAGAAGTGCTTGAGGTCCCAAGAAAGAGAAGGGGAGTCTATCAAAAGCTATATTAAACGCTTCAATGACACTTGCTTACAGATCCCCAATCTAGATCCAGTTGTGAGGCTCATGGCAACGAAAAAATGTATTACCCACAGGGAATTCAAGTGGCACGTAGTGGCCAATAAGCCTAAAGACATCACCAAATTCCTCAAGCTCGCCGACCAGTTCATCGGGACCGAGGAAGAAATGAACCAGAAGACTGAAAATCCAATAGAAAAGAGAAAAAGAGAAGGTGACAACACAAGTAATGGCGGCAATAAATGAAGAAAAAGCAAGTCCCCGACCAGGGGAGGAAACAAGTCCGAAAGCTGATCTCCTTCGCGATCTCATAAGTTAGGTCGGCGTTCCCGAACTTCGTCGGTTGAAAGGACGAGCTACACACCCCGCAACGCGAAGCGAGGAGAAATTCTTATGGCGATCAAAGACTCCTCATACATGAAGTGGCCACCTCGGTTGAAGGGAGATCCTGACACCAAAAACAGAAATCTCTATTGTCACTTCCACAAAGTGTGCAGCAGACAAGGCAGTTGCCAGAAGAAAGGCCGATCCGCTGAGTAATCAACATGATTACTGGCGGGTCCATTATCGCGGGCTGCACCTCGGTAGTAGGTCGAGCTTCAATTTGAAGATCCCATCTACTTGACAGAAGATGATAAGCGCAAAATCCAATATCCTCACGATGATGGCCTGGTAATAAAGTTGAGGATAAATGACTTTGAAGTCAAGCGTGTCCTAGTGGATTCGGGCAGTTCGGCCGATATTCTATTCAAGGATGCCTACGACAAGCTCCAGCTCCAAGAAAGCGATCTCAAGCCGACAAATACACCCTTGGTAGGCTTCAGCGGCGAAGAGGTCAGATCGCTAGGGCGAGTCTTAGTACCTGTAGAGGTCGGCACATGGCCCAACATTGTAAGGTTCGAGCACACTTTCCTAGTGGTCGTGACTCCATCCCCGTACAACGCCATAGTAGGTCAACCCATTACGCACACCCTACGTGCAGTACTATCCATCTACTACTTGGCGATGAAGTTCCCTACGGACTATAGGGTAAGGGTTGTGCGAGGCAACCAGCTCGAGTCTCGCAAATGCTACG